ATACTAACAAAGATAAAACGCAACCTCGACGAGGGCAACGAGGGCTAGGTTCCAAGCTTCGGAAAGTGTCACGACAGGGTGGCGAAACAATGCTGACCAAACAATTACCACTAACCACCCCACCAACAACGAGAGTAACGCGCGCTACGACGGGACGAACAAGCAAGGGTCGGGGCGCAGCGCAGACCTTGCGGTTGCCGGATGACGCGGCGGAGGAAGGCCGGACGGAGGGGGACGGCGGCGGCGGGGGAGAGCAGGAGGAGGAGGCGACCCCGCGAGGGATCTGTCGCGGGCGGTTGCGCTCGCGCGGAGGACGCGACGTGGGGGCCGGCGCGCGGGAGAGGACGTGCGGGCGCGTCGCCGGCGCCGGCCGTCGCTGCTCGCTGGCTGGCGCGGAGGAGGGAGGATATACGTGCGGTGGAGCGGGGCCGAGCGCCGGCGCTGGTGGTGGTGGTCGCTGCTGCAGAGACGAGACGAGAAGGGGATCGCCAGCCAAATCGACTACCGAGGAGTCAGTCCGTCGCGCGTGGCCGCCAAGGCCCGCTCGCTCCGTTCGGTGCGGCCCACTAGCCCAGGCCAGATCGCACGGGCCTCCTTCTTCTGCCTAAAGATAACTACTCCCCTAAAAAAACTTAAAAGATAACTACTTCTCAAAAAACAAACCTAAAGATAAGTGATCTAAAACATCTGGTACTAATTTACAGAGAGAGTACTAGTAGTTATCTTCTATTGTCGGGCCCACAACTGAAAATCGGTGAGGGGTGGGAGACTTTTGGAGCCTGTCCCAAGAGGGATGCGCCTTGCAATGTGTGCTCGTGTAAGAGTCGTTTTGAATCCTATAAGAATTATAGTACAATCCAGGCAAATAGAGAAAATCTCTGAAAAATAAAAACTTGCCATCCTTGTAACACAGAACTAAACATGGCAATTTTTGGGACGTTGGCAACAACAAAAATTCGGTTCACATATGTTGATCATAGTATGGGCAAAAATACTAACCAAAGAGCGGAACTGCCGGGCATCCACCTCCCGCATCCTTGCCTGCTCCACCTCCCAACTTCACATGTCCTCCGCCGCACAAGGTCGATTCCCTGCCAGAAACAACATTGATGTCCCCATTGAAGGAGCAAGGTCAAGCGTTGGCAGAAAAAAGGGTAAAACATCATCCGGGCATGTAATATAATGTTCACGACAACAAGATCTGTCGACTCCCAACAAATCCCCAAGTCCATGCCGTACCGATCTTTCTGTTCCATTAAGAAAAAGCAAAATCGTGTGTATTGGCATCGGAAATCAACATGCATCGTGCCCCCCACACCCCACTGGCCCCTCTTTTCCTTCAGCAAAGCAAAAACATGTGTGGGGTGGCTAGAGAAAAGGCTTGCCCCGCTACTAAATTCAGGTCGTCGTCTAGTCTCCCTCTGATGAAATCGAACGAACGCCCCAGAGAACCTCTCAATTGCGCTAGAATGTAACAGATGGAGTAGTAAGGCAACCAAAAAGGGCCATCGCTTGAACCAAAATCCGTGCTCGTCCTCGCATCGCCGAACCCCCAAAAAATTTCGAGCCGGAAATCCCTTGCGAATAGGTGAGGAGGAACGATGAACATACCTTGCCCGAAGGAGCACATGGCCGATTTCAGGGGGCGTCAGTGTATTCTCTAGATCTCACGAAGGGGCGTTGGCGGAGCGAGCAAATGTGGTTGGCTGCAATGGTGGGGATATAGAGATGGGGTGCGGTGCTGGAGCGAACGATGAGTCACCACGCCACGCTGAGTGGTGCCACGCTGGCAATGCACGGAGATTCAGATGAGGTGTCATACTGAAGCGAGTGATCAGCATCGTGTCACGCCAGAAATCAGTTTCTTACCTTTTTCATCTTGCCAACTAGTATATATATATTATATTATATAAATACCCAGAGGAGCATATCCAACTAATCTCGTTCAATCTAACGACTGATTGCCTCAATGGCAAGCGCTAAATATGTTTATCGCGCAATAAATATTATACCAAATATCAATATCAGGGATAATCACATAATTATCATGCAACTAATATTTTATCGAATACAATTAATATTCTACCAATATCTTTAAAACATATATTCTACTCCTATCCGGTGAAAAGTGTACATATAAAAATTTTAGGACAAATTATGAAGTTGAGTAAAAATGCATTGGAAAGGTGCAAGCCACCAACTCTCGTCTTTAATTACCAAACCCCCAATGAGCTAAATGCATGTACTCCCTCCGTAAACTAATATAAGAGTGTTTAGATCACTAAAACGCTCTTATATTAGTTTATAGAGGGATTAAAAATTAAGAAGGCCATGTGTAGAATGTTATTAATCTTGATTACCGTGTGATGAGAGAGAAATATTTTTTTACTTTAAGTGCATTGAAAAGATAGAAATACACTCTTTTGTGGACAAATTTTAAAGCCAAATGTATACTCTTCACCGGACGAAGGGAGTACTCGTTTACTCAGGGAGTACCAAATATGAATGTGTATTGCACATACACCTTTATTAGTTATAGAAATGAGATGGTGTGTATCTGAGTTCCTAATTAAAAGAAAAGAAATGTTATTTGATAGTTGTGGTAGGAAATTTCTACGCATCCGCTGTTGGGGAATGTTGCATGAAAACAAAAAAAATTCTACGCACACGCAGGATTTATCCATGAAGATGCATAGCTATGAGAGGAGGAGCATCTACATACCCTTGTAGATCGCTAAGCGGAAGCGTTTATCAATGCGGTGGATGTAGTCGTACACCTTCACAATATGTCCCGACCAAGTACCGAACGTATGGCACCTCCGTGTTCAACACATGTTCAGCTCAATGACGTCCTCGTCTTCTTGATTCAGCAAGAGAGGCGAAGTAGTAGATGAGTTCCGGCGGCATGAAGGCGTGGTGACGGTGGTGGTGAAGAACAATCTCCGCAGGGCTTCGCCAAGCACAACGGAAACTATGACGGAGGATAAACTAGAGGGGGCAGGGTTGCCGGCAAATGGCTTGGTGAATCTTGATGTGTTCTAGGTGCTAGCCCTGCCGCTCTATTTATATGTTGAGCCCTAATGTCTGCTAGAACTACGTCGGTAATTCCCCAAAGAGGAAGGGATGATGCAGCACATCAACGGTAGGTATTTCCCTCGGTGATGAGACCAGGGTTATTGAACCAGTAGGATAACCATGCAACACTACGTGAATGGCACCTGCACACAAATAACAAATAGTCGCAACCCGACGTATTAAAGGAGTTGTCAATCCCTTTCGGGTAACGGCGTCAGAAATTGACAAACGGATGTGAGAAAGTTGTAATAAGTTGATAGATCGAACGCCAAATAAAATAAAGTGCAGCAAGTTATTTTTGGATTTTTGATTTAATAGATCAGAAAATAAAAGCAAAAGAAAATAGATCGCAAAGGCAAATCTATTAAAGAAGAGACCTGGGGCCGTAAGTTTCACTAGTGGCTTCTCTAGAGAAAAATAGCAAACGGTGGGTAAACGAATTACTGTTGGGCAATTGATAGAGCTTCAAATAATCATGACGATAATCCAGGCAATAATCATTATATAGGCATCACGTCCAAGATTAGTAGAGCGACTCCTGCGTGCATCTACTACTATTACTCCACACATCGATTGCTATCCAGCATGCATCTAGTGTATTAAGTTCATGGAGAAATGGAGTAATGCAATAAGAACGATGACATGATGTAGACAAGATCTATTTATGTAGAAGTAGACCCCATCTTGTTATCCTTAATAGCAACGATACATACCTGTCGGTTCCCCATCTGTCACTGGGATCAAGCACCGTAAGATCGAACCCATCACAAAGCACCTCTTCCCATTGCAAGATAAATAGCTCAAGTTGGCCAAAAAAACCCAAATATCGGAGAAGAAATACGAGGCTATAAGCAATCATGCATATAAGAGATCAAAGAAGACTCAAATAACTTTCATGGATAAAAAGATAGATCTGATCATAAACTCAAAGTTCATCGGATCCCAACAAACACATCGCAAAAAGAGTTACATTATAGGGATCTCTAAGAGACCATTGAGAATCAAACAAGAGAGAGGAAGCCATCTAGCTACTAACTACGGGCACGAAGGTCTACAAAGAACTACTCACGCATAATCGGAGAGGCACCAATGGACATGATGAACCCCTCCTGATGGTGTCTAGATTGGATCTGATGGTTCTGGAACTTGCAGCGGCTAGAATTGATTTTCGTCGACTCCCCTAGGGTTTCTAGAATATTGGGGCTATTTATAGGGTAAAGAGGCGGTTCGGGAGGCAACCGAGGTGGGCACAACCCACCAGGGCGTGCCTCGGCCTCCAGGCGTGCCCTGGTGGGTTGTGCTCCCCTCGGAGCACCCCCAGGTGCTTCTCCGGCCCACTGGATGTCTTCTAGTCCAAAAAAATCCACAAAAAGTTTCGTTGCGTTTGGACTCCGTTTGATATTGATTTCTTGGAATGTAAAAAACATGCAAAAAACAGCAACTGGCACTTGGCACTATGTCAATAGGTTAGTACCAAAAAATGATATAAAATGATTGTAAAACATCCAAGAATGATAATATAACAGCATGGAACAATAAAAAATTATAGATGCGTTGGAGACGGATCAGCATCCCCAAGCTTAATTCCTGCTCGTCCTCGAGTAGGTAAATGATAAAAACAGAATTTTTGATGTGGAATGCTGCCTAACATGCTCATCTCATATTCTTTTATTTATAGCATGGACATTTGGACTTTTATATGGTTCAAAGAAATAGTCTAGTTTTGACATGAGACTTAAATACTCAAGCATATCAACAAGCAACCATGTCTTTCAAAATATCAACGCTAAAATAAGTTATCCCTAGCCCATCATGCTCAATCATTGATCCATTCATGAAACACACTCGCATATTAGCTACACCCAATGCTCTAGTATGATCATAGTGCCCCCTAGTTGGTGCTTTATAAGAGAAGATGGAGACTCAAATTAAAAATAAAAATTGCATAAAGTAAAAGAAAGACCCTTTGTGGAGGGAAGTAGGGTTTTGTAGAGGTGCCAGAGCTCAAAGTGAAAAACACAGAGATAAAACATTTTGGGAGGCATGCTTTTCCTATCAACGAGAATGACCGAGAAGTTCCCAATACTTTCCATCCTAGATAAATCATAGGCGGTTCCCAAACAAAAATTAAAGTTTATTCCTTTTTCAACCATATTTTCACTTTCCATGGCTAGCCGTTGATACGTCTCCAGCGTATCTACTTTTCCTAATCCTTTCCTCTTGTTTTGGACTCTAATTTGCATGATTTGGATAAAACTATCCCCAAACTGACGCTATTTTCAGCAGAACTACCATGGTATTATTTTTGTGCAGAAATAAAAGTTCTCGGAATGGAAGAAACTTTGCGAGGAATTTTTATATCAATAAAGAGAATTTCTGGAGCCAAGGACCACCAGAGGGGGGCTCCTGGGTGGGCACAACCCACCAGGGCGTGCCCCCCTCCTGGTGCACCCAGGTGGGTTGCCCCCACCTGGTGGCCCCGCAGACCCTGAAACCTACGCTATAAAATCTATTTTTTCCAGAAAAAATCAGGGAGAAAGAATTATCATGATCCACGAGATGGAGCCACCGTCACCTCCTGTTCTTCATCGGGAGGCCAGATCTGGAGTCTGTTTGGGGCTCCGGTGAGGGGGGTCTTCATTATTCGTCATCACCAACCCTTCTCCATCGCCAATTCCATGATGCTCCCCACCGGGAGTGAGTAATTCCTTCGTAGACTCGCTGGTCGGTGAGGAGTTGGATGAGATTCATCATGTAATCAAGTTAGTTTTGTTAGGGCTTGATCCCTAGCATCCACTATGTTCTAAGATTGATGTTGCTATGACTTTGCCATGCTTAATGCTTGTCACTTAGGGCCCCGGTGCCACGATTTCAGATCTGAACTGTTTATGTTATCATCATTATATACATGTTCTAGATCCGACCTTACAAGTTATAGTCACCTACTACGTGTTATGATC